CCCAGACTACCAATGAATTACAAGACTGACCTGCAAGCCAGGCTTCCCCGATGGCGTAATTTTAAAGTAACCTTTTTAATGCAGCAAGAGTACCAGTAAATTAGAAAATATTACTCACTTTCATCACCAACGGTGGCCAAAATTTCAATTCTATATTTATTCATCATCCCGATTGCCTATTCACTAACAATACGATTTATGCTGTCGACGGAGGTAGCAAACACATGTTTGCTTAATGGAAAATCCTACTATAAAAATGTTATATGAAAGTCAAGTCGGCCCAGACATTGTTGGAAGACCGATAGATTAAATTATATACTATATATAAACTATATATATATATTTCCTTCAAAACATTTTTTGGTAATTTTTTAGGATCGGGCTTGACGAATTTTGTAATTGTTGGGAGCACATGGACGCACATGAAGAATTAGTTAATAACTCTCATCTATCAAAACAGTTAACACATGGCATCATATCATTTGTCCTTCGAGCAGCAGATACTTATGGACAACTGGAATTTTCTAATAATCCAATAGCTTCTGAGGTACGAAGATATATAATTTTTTAAATCGTTTTATCACAAGTAAGCGATATATGATTTCAGGCCTAATGTTATAAATATATGATATATATATATACTATATACTATATATATATATATACTATATATATACTGCTCTGTTGCTAAGAGCAGTGTGAAAGTTAGGAAATTAATTCCGATGGAATGTCGCTCAAAATAATGATACAGGAGACATTGGGCTGTCTTTCTAGTTATATAATAGGTGAGTTGTGCGAGAGGATTACACGAAATTGCGCCATATGCTCTGATAATTTACAAGACAAAATCAAATAATATCTTCACTTCTTAAGTATTTCACTTGCTGACAAACACCATTCAACACTCAAGTGGGAAAATATACTTCAATTCCTCCGGGTAAGTTTGCAACAATGACAGACAGTGATGGACAGCTGCGTATCAATTTGGATGATCATTCGTCGTCTAAACGAAAAATGAAGTAATAATATTTGTATTATATATATATATATATATATTGAATTTGGTATCTAGTAAAGATTAGCTAGAATATATTATTTCAATTGACTGAGGAGCAAGTCGAGCCAGCTTTGTTTTAGAATTGATGTGCCGGCTCGAATTCAAATGAAAATAATATATATATATTTCCCTATATTATATTTAAACTTGAATTTCCGATGAAATAAACGTGCTATATGTAAGGTTAAAAAACCCAACTGCATTTCAAGATATGCCATACTGTTCAGGGCAGTTATAATCTTTCATAGTCATACATTTGTTATGTAACATGTCACACATTTCGCAAAGCAATTGTATTCAAGTGTGGATTTGCAGGCACATATTTGAATGAAAATTGTCTTGGCGTGTAATATATAGTTTATTATTATGGTCAAAAAGGCAAAATATCGCTAATACACATTAAGCCCAAATATTGTTGAGCATTTCTATAAGTAAAAATGATTTACACATCAAACGATAGCAGCTTTCCTTTTTATTGGAGCTTAAAATAATATTTATTTTATATATTTCCACCCAAGCTTTGGTTTAATCAGTCATGAGTCCCACTATCAAAGGATTATATCCTGAGCATTTCTTAATTTTCCCAATTATAAAATAAGATTTGTTTACTTTATTCTTGTGTACGCACGAATTATAATTACAGGGCTTATTGGGTTATTATATAAATGTCTCCTACTGAATTAAAGCAGGTTAATTTGTCTAGTCGCCATTCAGATCTGTAACATTTGTTATCTAAATTAATTATCTTACATTTCCAAGTCAAGTCGCCAAGAGGATGGTGCTCTTTGAGGAGGTTGCATTTCATTCATTCTCAGCTTCTCGTATTTGCCTTTTCATGCCTCGACTTAATTAGACTTACTTGTCTGGGATAAATATATCTCCTCGGCATCACATAACATTCCAGTACAATTAGAAACAATCATTTTAGTGACTTTTATGACTATTATTCCTACAGCTACCCTTTTCCATGGTGCATCTTAGCTTAAAGTGAAAGTGAG